ATACACATCTAGATGTGTATAAGAGACAGGGATGATGCACGGACCAGCGAAGCATACGTCCAAACCACTGTGTAAGACGAGTTACGTGTACAGGAAGGATGTCGACGCTGGCGAGCACGAATGTACTACTAAGTCCATCCACGGGCCAATGTCGATGGGCCATGGCCACGGGTTAAGCGAACCGGCGGACAAGCATGGTGGTTGCCGCAGAGTTCTGTAATCAAATCATATGCCAATTGTCACAAATCTATCTGCTCAAACCGCGTGAGGTGGCCGGTGAACACACCTGCACGCTGATGAGATGGAATGTTCGACGTCGCGCACTAGGATATCGTACAAGTTAAACAGGAAAATCCCATGCAACATTATTATCAAACACACTCAATCGGAGAGATCCGTCTCCGTCTGCTCGTGTCTGCAGTCTCGCACCTAAAAAAAGGTGCACGAGCCATCAGCCGCAGTGGCCTCTTTGCATTCAAGACCAGAATATAGTAACATAGTCAAACAGAGCGCTGCCTCCGGTAAACCGTACGTAGGCAGAGAGAAAGGGGGAGAAGAGGACAAGAAACGAGGAGGGGGTGTGACAAAAGGCGAGGTTGAGTTGAGGAGGCCATAGCTTGTCTATGGCAGGTCTGGAAGTTGCTTTGTTTATCTGATGAGAGCTGTTTCAAGTTTCGAGATATTCACTTCACATATTTGCTATGCCGGTGTATGGCTATGTGTTTTTATCTTCCTTCTTACAACTCCCCTGATGATGATGATGATGGTGCATCATCATCATCATCATCAGGGGGGAGTTATAAGGAAGAAGATAAAAAAACTGAATTCATTTTTTCCTGTTTTTCTCTTTTTTTCCTTTTTTTCTTTTTTTCTTTTTTTCTTTTTTTCTTTTTATCTTTTTTTCTTTTTTTCCCATTTGCGCTCTGATATTCTTGTGACAATATATACTCCGACGTTGCTAGCTCTCTGCTTTTGTAGATGATGCGGCGAGCGTCGGGCCTGTACTAGCAGGCTCTTCTTTGGTTATGGTAGAAAGTATTCTCGCTTTTCTTGACAGTGCACGGAATTCATTTGCATCGAAAATAGCCTGAATCATTGTCCTATCATCCCACATTTTCTTGTGTTGCTCATTCTTCCCCGTTGCTGGGGTGTTTCGTTTTGCGGGCCTACTGTATGGTTCCGTTGTTTTTACTATGGATATGGTAGATTTGTTGTGGCAATCTTGTCTGCATCCCAGTTGATTTTGTCCCGTTATTCGGTCTAAGCAGGTAGCGGTTCTTTATGTGGGATCAGTCATCCGGGTTTTTTATTGTCTTGGCATCCTGGTTGGTTGTTTCCCGTTGTTCGGCCTTTTGGAACGCGGGGCGGTGCTTGTATGTGGGAATCGTCATCCGGGATTGTCTTTTATACCAGTTCTCCGGGTTCTGTTTGATTTCTTTGCAGACAAGAATGTTTTGACATCCTGGTTGCTCTTGCCCCGTCGTTTGGCCTGAATCGTCATCCGGGATTGTCTTTTATACCAGTTCTCCGGGTTCTTTTTTATTGCTTTGCAGACAAGAATGTTTGGACATCCTGGTTGCTCTTGTCCCGTCGTTTGGCCTGTGGGCAGGGGCGGTGCTTGCATGTGGGACTTGTCATCTGGGATCTGTTTTGTTGCCCCCTGTTCTGTATTATTTGGCTGTTCCCTTCCTCTTTTCTTTGCCTCTTTGCCTTCTGGCTGTGTGCATGTGGGTCGATATGACACACGGGGGTGGGGGCAGCCGCCGCTCAACCTACATCCACGTGGGCGGCCTTGTACGCAAGAGGTTCTGAACAGGAGGAGTTATAAGGAAGAAGATAAAAAACTGAATTCGTTTTTCCTATTTTTCTCTCTTTTTTTCTTTTTTTCGCATTTGCGCTCTGATATTCTTGTGACAATATATATTGTCACACTGTGAATCAGAGCGCGA